TTTGGATGTGTAAGGCAAGCTGATGATAATTCCATAAAGAAACCAAAATTACATTTTTATAAATAAAAGATAAAATGGCTATAATTTATTTAATTTTAATCATATTTTAAATATAGCACTGTATACTGTTCAAAATGTATATAGTGAAGATTTTATCTTCCTGCTATCTGCCCACACTGTCTTTCTCTTCCCACTATTCCTCAACCATCAGTTATCCCCAGAGGAAAACACTATTATCAATTACATATGTTTTTCTCTAGGAAACTCCCATGCTTACACAAATAAGCTTATATATGCCAGCTATTTGGAATCTTGCTTTTCATTAAACAGTATATCTTATAGATACTTTCATGACAGATGTACAGATGTACCTAATTCTTTTAAAAAGCTGTATCTTAATATTTCAGTATATGAAATTACAACAGTTTTATATAACCATTCTCCTACTGATGGATATATAAGTTGTTTCAAATATTTTTTATTACCAACATTAACAAACAATAGCAAAAAAATTGAACATCTGATGTGAATGGATTTTTAATTCAAATATTTAAATTTTACTTATTCCTTATATTTTAAATAATATTTAAGGTCATATTATTAAGATTATTTCATATATAATGAAACCTAGTATTTTGCTTATAGATCTGTCTAAATTATGCTCAAATCAGCTTAATTCAAAAATGTCATTGAATTCTGTAAGCATAATACATGTTGCTGGACATCAGTAAAGATTTGTTGGAACATGAGAACAATTAATTCACCGCAATTTTCCCAGTTAAAGTAATTTATTTGTTTTTTATTTTTTTAAAGAGAGAGAGAGAGAGAGACAGAGAATTTTTTAATATTTATTTTTCAGTTTTTGGTGGACACAACATCTTTATTTTATTTTATATGGTGCTGAGGCTGGAACCTAGTGCCCCACGTATGCCAGGCGAGCGCGTTACCGCTGGAGCCACATCCCCTCAAATAATTTAGATTATAGGAAGAAAAATGTGTTATTATGCAAATACCATTCAAAATATTCCTGGTGCATTTGTTTGTTATAAGCTATTTTTGGAAATCTCTCCAGATTTATATGTTTCTTAAACTTACCCTTCTGTGATCAACTCTCATTTTTCTCTATTTCTTCTAAACATCCTCACAAATATAAGAAAAACTTCTCTTATGTTCACAGGGGATTCCTAAGCCAGTCAATTAATGATGGTATAATGATTATCTTTTATAGACCAATCCTACACTAAGCCGCCTGTGAATTATAAAGCAGGATAAAACATTTTGTTTTATTAGGTAAGAGTTCAGTTGGATAGTTGAAGCAAGGCATAAATATAAGAACAATTAAAAGGAATTCAGGCTATTAATAATAGTTTTATATGAATACATATGACATTGTATGCCAGTTCCTCTCATTTCTTTTTTCCAGGTATCACTCTGATTTGATCTTTCCTTTTTTCATTTTCCCAGACTTTACCATGCTCTGACTCCTAGCTCTTTCATAACCAAAACATTTTTTTTAAATTTATTTTTTAGAAGTAGTTGAACACAATACCTTTATTTTATTTATTTTTATGTGGTTCTGAGGATCGAACCCAGGGCCTCACATGTGCTAGATGAGCACTCTATCACTGAGCCACAAGCCCAGCCCTGAAAACATTTTTTTTATTGGTTGTTCAAAACATTACAAAGCTCTTGACATATCATATTTCATACATTAGATTCAAGTGGGTTATGAACTCCCCAAATACAGATTGCAGAATCGCATCAGTTAACATAATGCCATATTAGTAACTGTTGTATTCTGCTACCTTTCCTATCCTATACTATCCCCCCTCCCCTCCCCTCCCATCTTCTCTCTCTACCCCATCTACTGTAATTCATTTCTCTCCTTGTTTTTTTTTTCCCATTCCCCTCACAACCTTTTATATGTAATTTTGTATAACAATGAGGGTCTCCTTCCATTTCCATGCAATTTCCCTTTTCTCTCCCTTTCCCTCCCACCTCATGTCTCTATTTAATGTTAATCTTTTCCTCCTGCTTTTCCTCCCTGCTCTGTTCTTAGTTGCTCTCATTATATCAAAGAAGATATTTGGCATTTGTTTTTTAGGGATTGGCTAGCTTCACTTAGCATAATCTGCTCTAATACCATCCATTTCCCTGCAAATTCCACTATTTTGTCATTTTTTAGTGCAGAGTAATACTCCATTGTGTATAAATGCCACATTTTTTTTTTATCCATTCATCTATTGAAGGGCATCTAGGTTGGTTCCACAGTCTAGCTATTGTAAATTGTGCTGCTATGAACATCGATGTAGCAGTATCCCTATAGTACGCTCTTTTAAGGTCTTCAGGGAATAGTCCGAGAAGGGCAATAGCTGGGTCAAATGGTGGTTCCATTCCCAGCTTTCCCAGGAATCTCCATACTGCTTTCCAAATTGGCCGCACCAATTTGTAGTCCCACCAGCAATGTAGAAGAGTACCCTTTTCCCCACATCCTCGCCAGCACTTGTTGTTGTTTGACTTCATAATGGCTGCCAATCTTACTGGAGTGAGATGGTATCTTAGGGTGGTTTTGATTTGCATTTCTCTGACTGCTAGAGATGGTGAGCATTTTTTCATGTACTTGTTGATTGATTGTATGTCCTCCTCTGAGAAGTGTCTGTTCAGGTCCTTGGCCCATTTGTTGATTGGGTTATTTGTTATCTTATTGTCTAATTTTTTGAGTTCTTTGTATACTCTGGATATTAGGGCTCTATCTGAAATGTGAGGAGTAAAAATTTGTTCCCATGATGTAGGCTCCCTATTTACCTCTCTTATTGTTTCTCTTGCTGAGAAAAAACTTTTTAGTTTGAGTAAGTCCCATTTGTTGATTCTTATTATTAACTCTTGTGCTATGGGTGTCCTATTAAGGAATTTGGAGCCCAACCCCACAATATGTAGATCGTAGCCAACTTTTTCTTCTATCAGATGGTGTGTCTCTGATTTGATATCAAGCTCCTTGATCCATTTTGAATTCACTTTTGTGCATGGCGAGAGAAGGGGATTCAGTTTCATTTTGTTGCATATTGATTTCCAGTTTTCCCAGTACCATTTTTTGAAGATACTATCCTTCCTCCATTGCATGCTTTTAGCCCCTTTATCAAATATAAGATAGTTGTAACTTTGTGGATTAGTTTCTGTGTCCTCTATTCTGTACCATTGGTCCACCCGCCTGTTTTGGTACCAGTACCATGCTGTTTTTGTTACTAGTGCTCTGTAGTATAGTTTGAAATCTGGTATCGCTATGCCGCCTGATTCACACTTCCTGTTTAGAGTTGCTTTTGCTATTCTGGGTCTTTTATTTTTCCATATGAATTTCATGATTGCTTTATCTATTTCTACAAGAAATGCCGTTGGGATTTTGATTGGCATTGCATTCAACCTATAGAGAACTTTGGGTAATATCACCATTTTGATGATGTTAGTTCTGCCTATCCATGAACAGGGTATATTTTTCCATCTTCTAAGATCTTCTTCTATTTCTCTCTTTAGGGTTCTGTAGTTTTCATTGTATAAATCTTTCACCTCTTTTGTTAGGTTGATTCCCAAGTATTTTATTTTTTTTGACGATATTGTGAACGGGGTGTTTTTCCTCATTTCCATTTCAGAAGTTTTGTCGCTGATATACAGAAATGCCTTTGATTTATGCATGTTGATTTTATATCCTGCCACTCTGCTGAATTCATTTATTAGTTCTAGTAGTTTTTTTGTAGACCCTTTTGGGTCTTCTAGGTATAGAATCATGTCTCCCGCAAATAGTGATAATTTAAGTTCTTCTTTTCCTATTTTTATGCCTTTAATTTTTTTCGTATACTCTTAGCTACTTTTGTTCTCTAGCCATCCCATATTTCAAGCCAATCATCATTAGATAACACTTTATATTAGTCATTCTTTTGTCCAAAGAATCTGAAATGATACTGTAGCCTGCGACATCAGATCCAAATTCCTGTGCCTATTTCCTGCAGTCCTCTAGGACTGAGCCTCATCCTATCTATCAAATTTTATTTCCAAATTTTGATGCATACATTAGGAGCAACTAATTCTCCACCCAAACTTATCCCATCCAACCCCTTTTCACCAGACCATTCTCCTCTAAGCATATTATGCTTGCTAAATTCTACCTTTGTCCCTTGGTTTATGTTAAACTTTCCTGAATTTCTTTTTCCTTACTCTCTGTTTTTCCAGATGTTCTCCATCCCTTAAGGCTCATAGGGAGATCCAATTTCCTTTATAAAATGTTCCCAATCATCATAATAACCAATATTGACTTCTCTGTATTCCTTTGCTATACACACGTGCATGCGTGCACGCGCACACAAACATATATTCTTATACCTCAAATGCTGCATCTTCCATAAGATTATATTCTGTTTTCAATTCTCTCTTTATTTTCATGTGCTATTATGTTATAAATTGAAGGCCCTAAAAAAGACTTTACCTTCTCTCCCTTAACACCTAGCACAGGACTTGGTACACAAATTAATATTTTTAATCAATTACTAATGAAGGTACCAGTGCTTTATTATATTCTAGAATTTGAGATGGAGAATGGGAGATGATTTAGAGTCTTAAAAGTTTCATGCCCCCAGAAATGTCTACTAGGGTTATATTTCATTGAGAATAGTTAGTGCTACAAAGCAGATATAAGGATTTAATGTTTCTCTGATTATATTCTTTAAATCTCTAATTTTTACACAAGCTTTTAAAAACAGCAAAATAGTCCATTTTTTATCTTGTTGGAAGATTTAGATGTTGAAATGGCCTATTTAAAGTGAATCATCAGTGTTTTAAATGTGCTGGGATATGGATATTGTATGGATAGAGTAGCAACCCAAATAAGAACACTAATAAATGTTTACATACCATCAAGTCTACAAACATTAAATATCATACAATGATATAATCTTTCCTATTCTATAATTTATCTCAATTTTTCCATTACTTTCTTTCATTTTCTCTTCTAGCTTTACTCACAGATAAGCCTCCCAAGCCATTGTTCCCCATGGAGAATCAGCCAAGTGTTATAGATGTCCAGCTGGGTAAGTCTCCTTCTGGGAATAATAGATCCTAAACTTGCTCTCTATTAACAGATGGGGAAAATTGCATGAACCAGGAAAGGTTTATTGCCACTGTTATTACATGCAAATCAATTTGCTTTCTGCTCATTTATAACCCTGGAGTTAGCAGTTTAAGGAAATGAGTTTGTATTGCATCAAGGAATGGTAATACTAATTTGTTATGCTGGGTATTAAATGTGCTATATGACAGAGCTTTTTAACTCTGTGATTGATGGATTCATGCTGTCTTCCAGTGGTGATTGGTGAAGAAAATTTTTCATACATGTCAGCCAAAACTTTTTATTTGGAGAGAATTAACTCCTGGAGGCCAAGCACGTCTTAATATAAAACACAGCCCTTCAGTACTGCCTTTAAAAGGATTTGATAATATTATTTCCAATGACACAATCCAATGCTATTTAACAAAAAATTTATATTTGGATCCTGAATATTTATGATTCATATGATGTTGGGGGGAAAAGTAACTAGTTGATATATGAACGCTACTGTCTTTTTACAAACTTGAATAAGGACATGAGAATTTGAGCCAATTTTGAGTGTGCTGCCACTAGTCCTTGTGAGTTTGAGTACTATAAGCTTGTTACTCAGAAGCCTGCTAGCATCTCTTTTAAGCTGTGGCCTTTAATCTAAACCCTGTTCTTTAACATTTGTGAGCTTTCATCTATTGTGGATTTCACCCCACAATCCTCAATTTCTTCAGTCCTAACCAAAAGAATCTCAAAAAAATTGAGTGTACAGGCGAAAAGTATATTAGACATACATTGGGTACATGATTTTAAAAAAAATTGTGATCATAGTGGTAACCACCAATTATATATATAGTCAAGTAGGATGAATTGACTATAATATTTCATTCACTTTGGAATTTTTAGGCTCAACTTTTGATCTTTTCAATACAATTTTATATCTATCTTGGAAACAAGAGAGAGAAAATTACATTCCAAAGTGTTTGCTCACTGTTCTAAAATGAAATGTAGCACAGTACTTTCTAAATATAGAGTATCAATTTGAGGAGGACCAAAGTTAAATAGGTTAAAACTAAAAGAGGAGAAAATAATAAACATGTTGTCAAATATAACCTGTGGAAGTTGTGACTGTTTTGTAAATAATGTTGAACTATTGACTATGGCTCTTTCCACATTCCCTGTCTTATTTTGGAGGCATTATATTTTGTAAGATTCAGATTCAGATATTCTTATATCCTTACCCTCCAATAATTTTTACTTACACTTCTCCATTTCAAACTGGGATAAAAGTATCTCTATGGTACTCTATAGTTTGTTAGGGATTACATAAAGCTATTTAATGATCTTGTATCATCAGTTTACATGGAGATTCTAGTGGAAAAGTTGTTTTATTTCAAAATTTATATATTAAGGAATGAAAACAAAATTCACCTAAAAATTATAGGTACATTTCATGTTTGTGGCCTCAGTGGAGATATCTTTCCATTCTGTTCTACCATTATTCACATTTCAACAGAAAAATTTGACAAGTACTGCTACACAGTAGTGAGAGGGACCTTTCTAATGGATATGTTTCATTCAATTCACTTGGTGCAACACCTGTATATGCTATTCAGGGCACCTATTATGGTGTATATTTTATAAAGCTTTTTATGAACAAGTAGTCCAACATAGGCATATATGCCAAAATATCCTATTGACAGTGCCATCCTTTAAAATCACTAAGGTAATTGACTGCCACATTACATTAAATGTAAGGCTAAACTTTTCAGTTTTTAGTTGGTAATATAATTTAGAGATAACTTTATTGACAGAAAGATAGAAAACTTCTCATGTTTTCATTCAAGATCTTCATGGTTTCAATGAGCATATGACTAGTTAATTATAAGTGAGTTTAACTTTTCTGCAAATTTATTAACACCATATATTCACAGTGGGGAATCATTTTGTGAGGTGCTCATATACCTCAATTGTAAGGTGACATTAAGAGTGCTATAAATCTCAGAGAGATCCTCAGCCTCAGTGGGAGATCTGCAGACAGAATGATGAGAGTTTATAAAACTATAGATATAAAAAAGAAATAGAGAAAGATAACTGGGGCTATTGGACATCTCTATGGGGAACTTTCAGAATTCCATGAGGTAATAAAAACTTCTAAGAAGTTGTTTTCTTTCTGCATCTAAAGTTTGTCAAGCAACATTTAGTTTCAGATATCCTCAAACTATAACTAAAATTAGAACTTCCCAAAAAGTACAGTAGTCCAATTCAAATTGTCATTAAGCATACTATCAAGTTTTGGTTTCCCAAATCCTAGCACTTAATAATTGAAATAACAATGTGGCATATTAAAGTTGGTCCTAGATCTTTTTGCTACTCACATCATCTAAATGCGGACTTAATCTCCCCCTCACATTTTATTCTGGGTTGGCTTTGGAAATATGCTTTACCAGTAAAGTATGGCATAATTGATGTTCTGAGATTTTGGAGATCACATTGAGAGAAACTAGCAACTTCTATCCCAGTTTCATGGTTTGCTCTGAAACTATAATGCTACTTATAGCCCAAGCTCCAGGGAGAGACCCTAGAAGATAAGACACCATGTGGAAAGAGAAAGACCAAGGAGCACTTTCAAAGTGCCAGAAATATGAATGAAGAAGTTTTTTAGAAGTAGATCCCCCCAGTCCTAGCTGACCTGGCTTGTGTCACATAGATTAGAGGCAAACTACTGAAATGAACTGTTCTCAAATACTTGACCCAAAAATTATGATTTAAAATAAAGTGAATGCCAGTGGCAAATAAATTAGAGATACTTTGTTAGGCAATAGTATATAACAAAAGTAAACATAAATTAGATTATCTAGAGCATTCTTGATTCCATTTTTTCCCATGGATAAGAATTCTATGCAGCCAATTCATACAAAATGAGAAATACTGCAGAAAATATTTGAATACTAGGTTCAAGGTAGTTTTATAAAATAGAGTCTCCAACAATGGTTTAGATGATTGAGGGTTATACTGCTCTCAGTTGTGGATATTTCTAAAGAAAATGCAGTGAACGAAAATTTTCAGTATAAATTCATATTGTTTAGTACATGGAGTTGGCATCAGTTCAGATTTTTTGTTGTGTCTCTAGAGGAAAATAAACATCTCAACTTTCTTTCTCCTATAGTGTAATCCATTAGTCATCTGCAAGTTTTAGAAATTTACATACATTTTTGCTGACTTAGTGATGACAGTTTGGTTGTTACTAAATTGTGTTCACATTGTATTGCTGAAACAAGATTAATGTTAACCAAATCACCATATATTTTGTGATGATAAACACATTCATAACAAAATAGTCTAAAAACCATTGTTTTCACATAGCAAGCCTGTGTAGCTAAAGCTGCCTATGGTAATTTATGAAATATAAAGAGAAAAAACAATGTACAACACACACAAATCCAATTTTGTCCTTTTATCTTCCAATTATTATCCCTCGCTGGAGGTTAGTTCAAATTTGTAGAAAAAAAAACACTTTAACATACTAGTGCTAATTCTGTTCTCAGAAGTTGAGAAGGAATATATTTTAATATTTTCTAAGAAAACATTATTGCAATATATTAATTTATATTACACATTTAATAATAAACTCTTAAAACATCATAGGGACAGGTGCCCTATTTTAATGTATTGATACTAGGTAGATTCCTCTTTATATATTTGTCTTTGTTATGGCCCAAAATACAGTTTTTACAAACTTTAACACACTTCTAGAAGCTTTGAAAAGGGTATGAGCAAACATGGATTTAAAGAATTGAGATCAACTGTCTAATTTTAATTAAGGTGAATCTAAAAATGTGCCCTGTTCTCACAAACAATGATCATTTTCTTCATGGAATTTTTCTTAAGACTTAAAATAATCCAGACACTATTGTGTAGAAAATTAATACAAATCCTATAAATCCTACTTACTTTCTCCTTATAAGTCAAAAGGAAGTCTTGTGTTTGTGGCTGGGGGGAGTTAAGTCATATCAGAAAAAGTAAGACCAGTAGAACTGTCAAAGATAATTGCATTCATTGCCTTAAATGTTTCAAAAAGCCAATAGTTCACCTTTGGGTGAATTTGATCTAGTATAAAAGGTCTCTTTCTTTCTTTCATTTATATTCTAATTTTAGAATTTATTTTATTTTCACAGGCTATTCAAATACATATTTCATAACTGAGTTTTGTAGTACTGGCTTAAACTGTCTCTACGTGTGTAAGGATTGTTAATCTTCATCAGATATAAATTTCCCCAGCTTGTAAGTTTTTACTAAAAATTATATTATATCTCCTAAGAAACTTCTGAAAAAACTCTATAAAAGAATAAAGCAGAATATAACATTTAATCTAATAGTCAATATTAGAAGGCAAAAAACTAATTAAACCCCAAATTAAGAAATTAGCTCTTCAACAAAATCTATGTCTTTTTTTAAACTTTACTTATCTAAAAACATCTATTGAGTTCTTTTTTGAATATATTTTTAGTTGTTAATGGATCTTTATTTATATGTAGTGCTGAGAATCAAACCCAGTGCCTCACATATGCTAGGCAAGCGTTCTACCACTGAGTCACAAGCCCAGCCCTTCATTGAGTTCTTATTGTGTGTCAAGTACTTTGTTAGATCCTGAAGCTGTAGATGGGAATTAACTGAGATTCTTAACCTTAAGGGATTTTCAGTCTGATAAGAAACACAGGTATGTAAGCAGAATTGAAATGCAATATGATAACTGCCAAAACAGAGATGAAAAAAGGAGAATGATTTTTTTTTTTTTTTTTGTGGCAGGACCTCATAATATTAAAGGTGCCATGTTCTCAGGCTTTTACTAAATACAGTGACATAGCTAGGTAACCTCAACCCAAATACTAAATTTATTTGAAAGTGATTAAGAATTGTCAAAGACAGAATTTTTGAAATCACAATTTCTTCATCATTTGCTTCAATATGTCAAATCCTAAAATGGAAACTTAT